TGTGGGAAAATTCTTCTTATACCAGTCCTTCATCACCTTAAACGAAATTGGGTGAATACATCTCATATTAAAAAATAGTTAATTTATATATATATGTATAAAAATGGCATAAAACACTTTTCATTTTAATCAAAGTTGTTTGACTTTGTTTTCGCAACCTGGTCGTATTGTCAGGAAGACCCAGAGGAATACACCTTGTCCGGAGACCATAGGTGCATGATAATTTCCAGCTTCGTAACGTGGGCTTGATACATTCCCAGACGTTTTGCCGACCCCGTAGTCAGCTTCGTCAGTGAGCCTTGCCATTCTCAGCACCACATTGAAACTAGTCAAAGAGACAAGAGAAGTCAATCCTTTAGCCAATTGTCTGCTAAACGGTTATGGTATCTCTCTTGTCCTTGTTTATTTATGTGATCCTGGTATCGCCATTTTGTTGGTTTTGCCATATGCCTATTTGCTCCGACCTTGTTTAGGTAATAGGCAAAGTTATCTCTAACTCCGGCTACATCCATAATTTTGTTCATTACATTTCTTTCCATAAAGATGTCAATAGGAAATACAACCTTGCTTCATCGACAATCCTACTACATAATGTGATATGGATTAATACCTGGCCCTCCTTGAAATTCACGTGTGTTCTGTGACCCAAAGGCACTCGTAGCAATGTTGCGTATTGGTTAGCGTGTTGAGACGCTGCACCGTCATAGTTTGAATTTCCTTGGGGGCGAGATTAAAATTGCAATCTAGCCTGGATGAGAATAACTTGAAAAAGCAAATCTATGTAAAATTCAATGGAACCGTAAGGTCTATTCATATCATTATTGAAAAATTTCAATTACTAGTCGCTTCATAACTCTAAACGAAATAGGATGAAAACCTCTCATAAATATGCAACTATTTCGTTAATCCTACCTTCTTTAAGTCTCCTATTCATTAGATTTATTTAAGTAAAGATATCTTTGGCTTCTCGGATCTTGTGTTTTATAGTATTTTGACGATATGCGGCCAGTCTTTTTATGGATTTTCAGTCTACTTTGTGTCCCGTCCGTGCAATGTGTCCCGCTATTTCGGATCTGTCCATTTCCATGTTTCTGCAATCTTTCATGTTTGTTCATCCGATTATTTTTCTTCCTGTTTAACTAATATACTTCTGCTCACAGTTGTTACATTTTATTCGATAAACTCCCGAGCAATCTAATTTGTCAACCTTCCCGTGTTGCGTTGGCAGGCTGGTGCAAAGTGTTGTCTTTTCCTCTGTTATTACCTTGATATTCCATTTTCTTGTCAACTGTCGCAATTTCGGTATGGTTTACGCTAGAGCTAGCATATCCACTTTTGGTTTTCCCCCCGATTCCTGATCTTATTTTCATAAGACCCAAGTTGAAATCTGTTGCTTATCACCCCTATAATTTTTCTGGATAGTCTCCTCTTTAGTTTTTCGTTGGAGTTAATTATCTTAGCATCCAGGAAAGGTGGTCGTTCAAATGAGTTTTAATATGTCTCAAGAAATCTGCTCAAAGGGGCACATCAGAAGCAAGTAAGAGATTGGGATAGTGAAAGGGCGTTTCCATAATATAGGATAGGTGAATATACAAGGGCAAGTGCTTATTAGACAATTGGTTAAAGGATTGTCTTCACTTGTCTCTTTGACGAGTTTTAATGTTGGGCTAAGAATGGTGGGGCCCAACTTCTGTATAACGAAAGGAGTCCACGACCATACCATCTTAGTCTTCATACCTTCGAAAACACTTTTATGTTTAATTTTGTTTGATTGTGTGATTGGATGTTTGATATATACGTTGGAGAGACTTTCATTTCGTATGAAGGTGCAAGATTAAGAGATTTGAAGTTCGATCTCACCACAAGACAACTGCTAATTCCCGTTGTACCGTAGCCGTTTAGCTTTACTACGACTTTCAGTTTAACGCGGTCTACGATACATTCCCCCATATTTTAGGTAAAAATGGTTTGAGCTTTAATCCATCATATTGGGACTCATTCTTATAAGAGTATGAAGTTAACACTTGATCAAGAAGGCTGTTGGGCTCTATCTTACCTCATAACTAAAAGCGAAAATGTGTAGACATAGACGGGTATCGAATGATATGATTCATTCCCTTTCATATTGGTCACAGTACTTTTGCTTTATTGTTTATGTACCTGTGTGTGTGAGTGTATGCGCGCGTTAACTTTTATAAGCAATACCAGTCCTAAATCACAGTAATTAAAAGTCTTAATCGAAAGTATGAAGACCAAGATGGTGTGGCCTTTTGTGTGATCGCAGTCTCCTTTCATTGTATAGAGCAGTGGTTCTAAACTTTTCCTAGTCGCTGCGCCCTTTTTCAATTAAAATTTTTTCACGGTACCCTACCCTAAGTATGACTATTCGTAAGTAAGAGATAAAAAAAATAAAACTTGTGTATATTCATTATTTTTTTACTTCATTAACATTAAATTAATATTTAATAATTAATGTGATGGATGAGCCTGCAAATCACTACACATTTTCCCGAATTGAAGCGTTAACAATATTTCACGGCGCCCCTGTAAAAAGGCCGCGGCGCACAGTTTGGGAATCACTCGTATAGAGGTTGTTTGACCTTGATTTCGCAACTTGGTCATATTGGTAGGAAGACTTAGAAAAATGCACCTTGTCCGGAAAGTATTATGCATACGATGGACTCCGGACT